CTCACTGACGCATTAATCGTGGTGGTGCTTTAGTTTGATCGAATGGACTTTAGAGGAACGTGCACCACGTGCTCCCAAATCCCAACTGCCGTATTTGGGTTATCCGAATACCTTGATACAGTCATTTTTATATTTTATTTTTATTTTTATATTGTTTGAACGCGTTTTATCCTACCGCAAGGTATATACATATAAGAAGAATTTTTTTAATAGCAAGAAAGCTCCCTCCAGGCTCCAGCATTACCAGCCCCTGGTGGCCTAGTGAAAGTAAAGGCTCAGGAAATCTTGGGGAGGCTCAAATATTGGATATTGGATATTTAAGCCCATCTGTGCATAAGCTCCCACACCCCAAACTGTTGTACGAAAAAGACTCAAATAGCTTTCTCGCTCTGGCCTTTGGTCACCCAGCTTCAAACCCATGTGAATTCAATACATTCATCGATTCTTTAGGATCTAATAACAAACAAATATGCAATAAAAAATTTGAATAATATTACCATTAAATATATATTTTGTACATATCGATTCATATTTCAAATATACCTATATGCTAATTTCCCAAAAATATAGATAATGCATAAAATTCCAAATTTTCAAGCACTTTTTTTTTCATTGTTGTATCACCACATAGGGGTGAACTGTTTGCACAATACTTAGTACTAATACTTCTATATAACATGGGTAGCCTACCAAAAATTCCGAGTAAAAAAGTCCGTTGTTAAAAAGTTCAAGGAATTAAAAATCCAAAGTATAAAAAGTTCGTGGTGAAAAAGTCCAGTATATAATATAATTAGGTAAAAGGAAAAATTTAAAATACGATGTGATGCACAATTAAATGTTCCAATTTGTAGTACTAACTAACTGTATTTTTTTTAAAATATATTATTTTTATATGTCGATGGTTAATTAAACTTTGAAATCATAATATTAGAACAAGGATAAAAATTATAATTATGAATTTTTTTTTATACAGGTATAAGGTTAAACCTAACCTACCTATATATAATTATATTTTATATACAATTTTTTAAATATTATTATACACATAGGTACCAGGTTTTTTTTACTCCGGAATCTTTATAGTGCTTAGGACTTATCTACTCTGAACTTTTCTTCTTAAAGGTACATTTTCCCTGAAGCATCTTCACGCGGCGTCTAGCGTCACTACCGGTCTGGACGTAGGTCGGCGTCTGACGCGGCTCTACTGTTCTACTGTTTGACGCTCCAGGGAAACAGTAGCTATTTTACTTTGGACTTTTTTTTACCGCGATTCGTAACATAGTTTATTGAACAATAACAATTCAAATTACGTCATAAATAATATACACAATAGTATAATAATTATAATATTAATAATTAATATATATAATTTCCTCGCAAGTCGCAGATACAATGTCTGATATGTTATTGACAGGCGACAGCCACCCTTGACTCTTGAGTCACGTACTCACGTCCATTAATTCACGAACCAGCTTTGTTAGCCTGTTGCTCTTAACTTCTAGCACAGAACAGAAGCAAAGCTTCTAGTTCTAGCCATAGAGTAATATTACCCTATGCTTCTAAGTTCTAGCCTTCTACCCGCTCTATACTTCTACAATAGACGGGGCGTATTTAGACTTACTTCTAGGGGGGGGGGGCGACTTATTTAATTTTTCACTAAGTATGGACCCGAAAAAAATCCCATTTCATAGCCACGGGTATTGTACGCCGAATGCTTGAAATTATCACGCACCCTCGTTGCGATGGTTTGACACGTATAAACTTAAACGATCTAATTAAAATGTGAATATATTTTATTAGATTTTAGAAACGTTTTTAACAAAAAATTTTTATAATTAGTTTGATTAAATAACAAAATCAAGGTTCCTTTTTTTTTTGAAAAACGATCAATAATGTCGTTAACATCAATAATTATATCTTGATGGATATTCATTAAAGCCAAACTAGTCAACCTTTGTTGGCCCATTTGGTTTCTCAGCCATGTTTTTAACCTATACGTAACAAGCAATACAATCATAATTCATAAGTTAAAAAGCATTGTTACGGGCAATTATCAATATAAAAGTTTGTTGCTCAAAATATAAACTATTTATTATTAATGTTCAAGTAGATATTATGTATGTATACATAATATATGCTTGTACCCAAATAAAATAATACAATACATTAAGCTATAGTAAAATATAAGCAGTTAAAATAGTATAGATCATCCATTTTAAAATGTGCAGCATGCATAAAATAAAATGTAAGTTTTACTGGTTCGTTTATGAATTTTAACTGTTAACTTGATACCAATGATTACCAATGATATTACTATTGATTACCAATGATCATTAGTACTGATACTGACAAAACAATAATATATAATTATCCATCATACGCGTCCGTTCGCCTTCAATTTATTATATTTTAATATGTTTTTCTGCAATTTTTTTTAACACTTATTCGTATTTTATAACCAAAATTTTTGTAGAAAATCAAAATTGTTAATTAATTTGATTTCGTTATAAAAATTATCCAAATTAAAAAAATTTGAAGTGTGTATCTCACATACAATCGATTCCATAAATACAGATTCAGGGGGGGTGGTCGCCCCCTTCGCCCCCCCCCCCCTAAAATACGCCCCTGACAATAGTACATGACTAATGCTAGGTTTACACGTACATGTTTACCCATGAAAATTGGGGCGCCAGTGAAGTGTAAACATGTTCTGACGCGCAAGTGAAAATAAAAGTTGGAATATTCAAACATTACTGGCGAGCTGGCGGTAAGATGATGGCGCCACAACAAACATGCACGTGTAATGACTAATGTGTAAACCCACCGGCCACCTTAATGAGGTCATTACCGTGATCGCCTGTCAGACAGGTCCTGTCCCTGCCATAATGATAGCCGATAGGATGAACCATGAAAAGTCGAAGACCGTAGTGGCCGCAGACCGTAGTGGCGTACTCCGTGGTAGACTGTCACCCAGGACTCAGGAGTCAGGACTAGTGTCTATAGACTATAGTTATACTATTGCCTATTGCACATAGTATATAACAATAAGTATAATATATTATAATGTATAACACATCCTAATATTGTATACACAATACACCTCAAGCTGTGAATTGTGGTTAAATTATTAATTTATAAGTAAAAATCGTCATAATCAAGGAAAAAATTATTTTTGTTTGGATAATTTGACCGAATGCCATATGCCCATATTTAAATGTAATAGGTAGGTAATAATTAATAGCTAGTAAAGTAGATAAATATATTATTATATTATATTATATTTTAATGTAATCCGTGATTCAACGACCGACAACGTACAAAATATGACAACAGTCAACACTGAACAGATAACGTTGCATGAGCACTGAGCTTGCGCAATACAGTGGTCAGTGACGGTTGAAACTTGAAAGTGTTTAGGCGGGTTCACACTACACCGTGTCGTGTAATATAATCACGGTTACCTCAGTTACCAAACGATACCGCATAGTTGAATATATTCAACTTTTGACCGTGTGGTTACATTAAGTATGAACCCGGCTTTATCTGCACATAAATGTAACCACACGGTCAAAAGTTGAATATATTCAACTATGCGGTATCGTTTGGTAACTGTGGTAACCGTGATTATTTTACACGACACGGTGTAGTGTGAACCCCCTTAAGACTGTAAGTAGGTAACCTTCTACCATCACTCATGACGCGATTGTAAAATTCTTTATAATCATGAATCATGGTCAATAGTCATTACTCATCACAGGGCACAGGCCACACACCATATGAAAATATATTATATATTTTCATATAGTCTGTACTAATACTCTATATTATAGTCTATTCTATACCTTACTTCTTAGTTCTTACGTATGCGTTGCAAAATTGCACAACCATGCTTAATCATTTATATATGTGCACGACGGCATCTTCTAACTTCTTGTATCTTCCACTCTTGCCATCTTGCGTTGGCTAAGTTAATTCAACATAGGGGTGGGTACTGGGTTGGGGTTACTGGTGAGATAATACATAATTGCAGTATTATCCTATAATATGGACTAAGGTCTAAGAAGAATATCAAAGCAATTAGCAAACATTTCATACTATCGGACATAAGCTTGACGTAAGCTTCAGCACGACTGTCAGTGCAGAAGCGTAAAGACAAACGCACCCATAGTAGTGTAAAACTGTAGTACGTCATACGTGGGCAACGCACATAGAGTAATATTAGTAATATTAGTAATATTACTTTATGGTAACGCAACACTATATTTAATACCTATGTCTATATTTTTTATTAGGTACTATACAATCATAGAACATACTAGATAAACAATGTTACGACTCTCATTTCTGCCGTACCAAGCCGACTTCCACCCCTACCCCAATCGTTTATCACCTTATCAGCGTGATCTTGCGCACTTTGGTCGACGGAATCGTTTGTTATCGTTTGGTTTTTGTATTCGTGTTTCGTTCACTGATTGCCGTCGAGTGTCGACGCTCTACACTCTACAGTCCAGCAGTCAACACTGAACACTTCAGTCTTCAACAGTAACTAACTCATAAGTCACAACATTCGACGCCCGGCACGACGGTGCCTACAGTAAACAATAATCGTGTCGTCGCAGTAATAAATTCGCGCGGTTGTCGTTGGAGGCGGCGATTGAAGAGAAATTAAAAAAATGTAAGCAGAACAAAAAAAAAAATTGTCTGGAAAAAAACTTGTCGACGGACGCATTTTTGATTCCGTTCTATAAATTAAATTGCGACGGGGTTTCGTTATTGCTCCGTCAGCGTATTTGCATGTGATATATTAAAGGAACGGAAAAAAAATACTTAGGTATAACCACATACCCATAATCTGTAGATGTGTTGTAGTTCGGTTTCCTTCAGACATGTCTTGCACTGAAAATGGTTTGAGGTGTGCGCCATAGCCCTCGATCACACTACGCACACTACAAACCAATAGCGTCAATAGTACTATAATCACCCTTGACAGCGAGGGAACAATGTTAACGCTGTTCAGCCATGCCCATAACTACACTACTTCAATTACGGGTATGTGTCTCAGAATTGAGGAGCATTTTTTCTGTTTATATAATATGTTATTGATTTCTATTTAAATGTTACAGTCGGCTACATTGGGGTAGATGTTGATTTGTGGCTCTGGATGACATGGCTGCTTTGGCCACTCATTGTTACGTTCCTGTTGCCCCTCACCATCGTTCTGTTCTTCTACATAACTGGTGTTATACTCTATGTCTATAAACTTCACAGGTACACGGATTTTTAAATTATTATATTAATAATAGTCATTCAATATGTATCCAATTGATAGTTTATGAAAATTAGAATATATTTATTTAAAAGTTTTAACTTAATACATTGTCATTAACAGACAACATTTGTATACATTATAGTAATAAAAAAAGTATAATAATTTTATTTGAAGTAAATTGACTATAAATATCTATAGCAGTAGGTAGGCACCTAATCAGTTATAATAATATAGTAATATCAATTCACGATTCACCTACTCTAATTTATACTCAGTGAAAAACAGTTACACACTCAAAAATAAATGGAGGTAGCATATTGAATCAGTTACCTCTATATTGGCTAATAACTAATGGCTATAGGCATAGCCTATATTATAATATTATTAAATGGTTTATTTTTAATATTTTTGTAAGTAGTAACATTTTTATGATGTAAAAATATTTTGGGGCCAGAAGGTCCACCCACCAATCCACTAAAAATCAGTGGTAGTAGCCGCTACCCTTGAACCCTCCAGTATCCACCACTGTTTGAACTAAATAAAACAAATCTGTACTTTTATAAAACTAGATTCTTGATCCATCATTATTCAATGAATAAAATGTGTAACTATTGTAATGAATAACATATTGTATAATTTACATTTTTTATTTTGAGGTATATAGATATATTTAAATTTTAAGTGTGAACCACAACATATATTTCTTATTCTATGTACCTGACGGTAATCGATCAAAATATCCAAATTTGTAAATGTAGAAAAACATTATAAATAAACACAAACATTTAAAAATGTCATTATACTCAAATGATATGAAATAAAATATAGGTTAAAATGAAAAATAATTTAATTACGCATATTATAAGATAACATTTTATTTTCTAACAAAATTAGCTCAAATAATAAATTATAAATAATAGTAATAATATCACAAAATGTACTTCACAAACATTAGTCAAATAATACATTATAATATTATATTGTTCATTTTTTATAATAGCTTTCAATACAAATTAAAAGTTCATCATAGGGGCAAAAAGGGGGGGATTTAGCCCCACTACTAATTGACCAAATATTAAATTTTAGCCAAATGTATTACTATATACATCAATAAAAGCTTTGAACTGCTTTTGTTTAAAATAGTTTACACATTGACAACCGTCTAAGTAGGTACTACATAACAGATTGCAAGGGGATACTTTGAATTATTATTAATGTTACAATATTTTTATATTTAATTAGAAATCTTATACAATTAGAGTTTGCTTTTAGACTTGAGTATTTTAATAATTTCATCATTATCTATTTCGTATAAAACATCCTTTTATATTGCAATAAGCTAAAAGCAGTAATCTCCTAGTTCACTTAATGTACTACAAAAAAAATCAACTCAGAAAATCTGTGTATATCTTTTTATTTCCTAAAAAAAAAAAGGCCAAATAATTGTTTAAGTTAATATTTGATCTAATTTTATTAGAAAATATTTTTATTAATTTTTATTAACAATTTAATCATATCTACTAATCCATCATCCACGTAATTGTATTATTTTAAATTTTATTTATAAAAATGTTTTTCTACATTTTTAAAATTGGATATTTTGGTTTGGATATTTTGACCTAGATTCGTATCTGACACAAAGCAATAAGAAAAATGGTGGTCTGAGTGTAGAAAATTGAAAATTCTCATAATTGGCTACTGCAACTTGGCTGACTTTCAGTTGCACCACACATCTTTACAATTACTATTCTTAGATCTTTTGTTTTTATAACATATTTACAATTTACTTGTCTAATTATTAAGTTTTTTTAATATATTGTACCTACATCATTTAATTGATATTTCTATAAAATAGTTAGTTAACTATAAACTTAATACCTAATAAGATAAGAAGAGATTTATATGGTTGGTAAAATTTAAAAATATTACTTTATGTTGGCTATAAAGGTTAAAGCTCAAATAATATTCAGGGAATATAATAAAATTCTAGATATGCTGCGATTGTGTAATTATTCACCTGATTAGGTTGTATCTGTGAACCATAATTAAAATATTTAAATTATTGCTTGTTGGTTTTGGAAATCCATAATAATTACATGTTATGAGTTATATCATAGGTTATATCCAATTATTTACATTTACGTATTATTACAATATATCCTTGAAGAAATCATAAAATTAAAAGAATATAATTTTATAGGAAAACATACTATATAGTATATAGTATAGATTTAAAATGTAATAGGTACTATACCAATCATTACTTATTTACTATGATATTATGATTTTAAGTATCTATATACTTACAGGGTCTCTTGAGAAGTTATTTATTTAACGTTGTCAGATTATGTAAAATATATCTTGTCATTTTCAACAATGGCATTTGTATAATATAGTATATAGTAAATTACTGGTCAATAATTTAAATTAATCATATTGATGATTATATAATGTTTATGTGGTATTGGTCATTATTTGCGTTCACGGTATTAGTTATTAATTATTATTGTACCTAGAACTAGAAGGTCGGTCTATCCCCCAAAAAATATACAGTTTTTGGTTGTGTGGAATCAAAGCCCCCCTTGCACTCACATTGATGTTAAAAATGTTAGCCCCCAAATTATTTTAATCGATTTGCTCCTATGCTAATGGAAAGAAATTTAAAAAAAATCTAAGTTAACTCACGATTCTCACAAATTTTTCAATGTTATATATGACAATATTGTATCCATATATTAATAAAATTATGACTAATAGCCATAATACCATAATGCCATAATACCCTTTTACCATGGTCTGAAAAAAACATATAAAAATCGCTATTTTGTAGAGTTTTCTATTTATAATATTTTGAAATCCGTTGAAGTTTGAATGAATGAAAAGCAACACATATTTTCAAAAATATAACATATTTCTCAAATAATATTGTAAAATTGTTTGGTTCTTACACTTTGATATCTAATGCTAATCCAATGGGTAATAAAAAAATAGGTTATAGAGCCATGGTGGTATATGTAGCATGATCTTTGTAACAAAATTATAGCTATAATTAAAAATGCGAGAGTTATTCCCAGCAGGCAGCAACACATTAGTTTTGCCACAAAAACCATGGTCTTATAAAATTGACTTGTGCAGTTTATGGTAGATAAAATAAACAATATTATAAAAACAAATAAAAAAGGTGTTCCGTTGTACAGTAGGTTACAAGTGGGTCACTGTATAATGGATGGTATTAATTTTGAATTCAATGATATAATATCATTGTATAGGTAAGAAAAATGATTCTGTACGGAGACGGTATGTCAGTCTAGGACACTCTAGGTATAAGACTTAATTATATACTTATCTATGGTATTAAAAAAAAAAATATGTACCTATAATAAATTCCAAATTAATCATATCACAATAGCCATTCTGTACTTATAACGCGTTATACATCAATAACAAACCGTGATACTATCATAGATATATAGTAGTATAGGTACTTAAGAAATTTCAAGCACCCACGAATAATATTATACAATCACAACGAAATAACTAAAATAGTTATTGTAGGTTTTTTAATATATAATTTCGACCAAAATTTGCACTTAAAATGACTATAAAAATAAACTGTGCTTATGTATTTTTTAGATTTTTTGGGAACAGAATTAGCTACTTCCGTGGAATCTTGTTTTAAATTGTCAATCCTTAGATATAAAAGTTAAACATTTTATACATTTTTAACTACAAAATAATTATTCAATTTAAAATTTGATACATTTTGTCAAAACGGTCAGTCAGCCTATGATATTACTAAGTATATTTGATGATATTATTGTGAATAAAGTAATTTACATAAAACCTATTTAAGTGAAACCTTGTTATAAATTTTTAATCCTTAGCTATAAAAGTTGAACATTTTATACACTTCTACAACAACATAATTATTCAATTTTTTAAATTTGATAAATTTTCTCAAAATTCGATCTTTAAATGCTTATAAAAAAAATTGTGCCTATGTATTTTTAATATTTTTTAACTGCTATTGTAACAATATAATATCATGAGCCTTGTATTAGATTTTTACACTTTTTAGCCCAACAGATAAAACTTTATTGATATTTATAGAAAAAAAAACTAAAAAAATTGGAAACTATAAATGTCCGTAAACAACTCAAAAAGAGTCAAAATATTTTCAAAATTGTATGGTGTATAGGAAATGCTAATATAAACATTCAGTGAAATTTTCATGTATCTACAGTTATTCGTTTTTGAATTACAAGAAAATAAGGAAATCGCTACATGAGAAATCGAGTGAATATCCAATGTTGTAAAAATTTAATTTGACTTTCTTATAGATATTTTTTATTTTGATAAAGGTAGATAATCTTATAAGAAATCTTGTATTACATTTTAAAATCTTAGATTTAAAAAGAAAAATTTTTTTGAATTCTCAAAATAATACTAAATACTCAAAATAATTTGATAATTTTCATGATTTTTCCACATTTTGTCAATTTTTGAACTTTAAATGCTTAAAGAAAAAAACTGTGACTAAGAATTTTTAATATTTTTCATCTGCCTTTGAAACAATATACTAGGAGCCTTCTATTAAATTTTCAAGCTTTTTTAACCAACATATAAAATTTTATTGATATTTGTAGAAAAAAAGGAAAATGAAAATGTTCCTTAACAGTTCCATACAAATCATAATATTTTGAATATTTTATCGTGTATAGAAAATGCAAATATAAACAACCAGTGAAAATTTCATGTATTTACATTCATTTGTTTTAGAGTTACACCAAACGCCAAAATCAATTTTGTCAAAACCGGATTTTGGCTAAAAATTCCCGTTTTTTCTTAATTTTATGTTGTTTTCCCGGCGCTTGTGAAAATTATTATGAATTTTAAAATTTTACCTCCCGAATGCACCAACTAGATTCACTTTCCCATCGAACAAGATACTGTTGAAGAAAATCGAAGCAGTTTTACTGCCCCAAACCGTGATTACAGACACAAAATATTTTGCATATTATTTTATTGAATACACATTTTATCATTTTATAATCATTTAATTAATAATGGATATTTATTATTAATTTAATACTTCATATTATGTACATACAAAAAAAATTAGTTAACAGTTATAGCAGTTGTAACAAATAACAATTAACTCAAAACTTAAAACATTCTTCTGGACTTCTTATTTGTCAAAGTAGAAATGATATCTGACGTATTAATTTCTTTTGCAATTTTCTTTTCTATTGATATTATTGCCAAACTTGACAAACAAATTTGAGACATCGTACTTCGAAGATGGTTTTTAATTACTTTGAGTTTAGAAAAACTTCTTTCTGCGCTCGCCACTGTCACTGGTATTGTCAAAAAAGGTAGTTAAATGTTTAAGTTCATTTTCATTCATTGAACATAATATATTAATTGGTATTATTGAAGAAAATTGTTTTATTACTTGGTTCATACCATTAAAACGGTGTTCGAGTTGTTTGATAATTATGTCCAGAGTACGAAAGTATATTTGTGTTTTAAAATATTGTTCAGCATCAAGGAGACGTTCATCGTTACTTAATTCATCAAAATATTTAGTTGTTTTTGTTTTTCTTGTTTTAGTGAACGTTGGCTCAACTCCCCACAAAATTGCTATTTGTTTAGCTTCCTCGAACAATTTTTATTAATAATTAATAGAAAAAAAATTTTATTTCTTTGGGCCCGGGTGCGACCGTACCCTCTGATCCCTCTTGGCTCTTAGTTAGGCCACTGTGTTTATTATTACTTATTGGATTATCATTAGTTATAAAAGCATGTGGAAACCATACAATTTTACAATATTATGCTGTATTTTTTGTATTCATTTAATTCAACCGATTTTAAAATTAGTCCTCTGTATGTGAGTAGAAGTGACTTAAAAATGTCACTTATAAAATCATCAAATTTCTTTATTTTCAGTTGATAATAATTGTTTAACCATAACTTATTGTATTATTGCAGGGAAAGACTTATAAATGCATATGAAAATAATTTTTGGGATGGTGCAATAAAAACTGTAGCTGCATTATGGGATGCTCATGGTTGGATTTGGCATGGTAATTCATTTTAAACTTTAAAATATTTTTCATTATTTATTAAAATGTATAAATAATTTTTCTAGGATATGAATTAAATGGCCTTGAAAATGTACCTATTGACAGTCCAGCATTGTTAGTGTATTATCATGGCGCTATTCCTATTGATTTGTATTACATGATTTCTAGAATATATTTGATAAAGGCAAAATTAGTTCATACTGTGGCTGATCATTTTCTGTTTAAATTACCTGGTAATTATTATTTTTATTTTTGTTATAACAGATTGAATGATTCCCAGTAGAGGGTTAATAAATTATAATATAAAACCACTTAAAACTATATTTTTATTTTATCAATGTATTTTTAGGATGGTCAATAATATCTGAACCATTAAAAGTAATACCTGGTACTGTACAGACTTGTTCAGACATACTAAAAGAAAACAATCTTTTAGCAATTTCGCCTGGTGGTGTTTATGAAGCTCAATTTGGTGACAGGTATTACAGACTTATGTGGAAAAAGCGATTTGGTTTTGCTAAAGTAGCTATAGATGCTAAAGTAGTAAGTTTTTTTCAATTATTATAATATATTAGTATACCTCATATTTGATTTTAACCGTGTAATTTTGCTTCAGCCTATTATACCAGTATTCACACAAAATATTCGGGAAGCATTTCGTTGTATTGGTATTGGTCGTCGATTCTGGTTGCGAATATATTTATGGACCAGGTTACCAATAGTACCAATATATGGATGGTTTCCCGTTAAACTAAGAACTCATATTGGTAAACCAATTCCATATGATCCAGATCTATCAGCCGAAGACTTACAAAAAAAGGTATTACTTATATAGTTAGCTTGTATTATAAAAAAAAACATTTGTTCTATCATTATTAAAACATTGAATAACTGTAGATGGTGTAAAAAGTGTATGGTTACCAGTGTTGGGTAAATTACTTTTAAAAAGTAATAAAGTTACTTTACTCGTTACTTAGGGAGAAATGTAATAAAGTTACTTTACTCGTTACTCAAATAAAATTGTAATGAAATTACTTTACTTTTCAAATAGAAAAGTAACTACGTTACTTTCTCGTTACATTTTTTTTTTTATAATTTTTTTTTTAATTGCTTAGCTATTATCATTTAAAAAGCAAAGGAACTAGAAATACACTTCCTACAGAAGATATGGTATAATTTGAAAAAGATGTAACTACAGTTAATAACATAAATACATACCTAACAATATTAATTACTTATAACTTTTAAGTTACAACTATTAAAAATAGTAGTAATAAATTGTACATATGAATATTCGGTCATTACTCATTACTAATAAAGATATTAGATAAGTTTATTATTTTCACCGTTTCTTGTAAAATGCCAAACAGCAATAATAATTATTTATAACACTGCAATGTAAATAATTCGATTTATCATTGGTTATCCATCAATATTTATTTTTAGTGCATGTACAGACGTATAGTTTATGCTTAATAATAGACAATAGTTAATAAGAACATTAGGAACGTATAATAATTAACCACTTGTATAATAAATAGTACCCGCATTAGACTTAATATTTTTAAGTTTTTTTTTTTTTGAAATTCGCAATATTTACTAAATAATTTAAAACTGTAACGCGTTATACTATGTAAATTACTCATCAAAAGTAATTTTCATTACATTTTCGTTATTTGAAAATAATTGTAATTAAATTACGTAACGCGTTACAAACAAAGTAACGGCGTTACAGTAACACGTTACTTTCGTTACGTTACTACCCAACACTGATGGTTACATCTTAATCCTATACTTTTAAATAGTCTGATAGAAGATTATTAGTATTATATTTTTTTTTTTAGGTGGCAAGTGCAATTGAAGAATTAATATGTCAACACCAAAAAGTGCCTGGCAATATACTAAGAGCTCTCTGTGAACGTGTGTATAACCCTTTAAACTGTAGTAAAAAGAAAACCTGACATTACGCTTTGCTTACTAGTGATGGGAAAGTTTAAACTGATTGTCACGGTATTTAGACTGTATTGTGGTACATTGCAATTTGTGAAAAATTGTAACTGATTTCTCTATAGCATAATTTAATTAATGAGATCTTAACTTTTTTAAGTATTTATAAGTTATTTATTATATATGAAAAAAAACTCAGTTTATAGTTAATTAATTACTATCTATAAAAATGAAAATTTTTTATTTTTATTTGGTTAAGTACTTAATTCATTTCCAAATCAGTGGTTTTATCAATAACTATGTTTAATTAAATTGTGTTATTTATTGACAGCTACATGTAACTTGCCACACCCAAACTTCAAAATTAAATTTTTCTAAAATGTTCATGAGAAGGGATAATATTGTTAATATTGGTATAGATAATTATATTATATATATTATTTTCTATTATTTATCCATAATCTACTTAAGTTTGTATGGAGTAAAAAAAGGAATAGTTATAAAATGGTATTGAAATGTAGCTGTGATTATATTATATTAAACACTGAGACTTTTGATATAGTTATTGATTTTGGTATATGATAATTTATTATCTGAATTTTGTGTTCAATTATTAATATGTATGTGATATGAAATTGTTTACATATTATTTAAAAAAATCATTAATGGTTAGGATAAATTTGATTCCCATTTATTGTAATTTGGCTGTCCAGTTTTTTATTTTTATTTACCAAAACGATGTGCTAATGAAGAAATTATTTTATAATTTAGTTAAAACTACTTTGTGATATATTTTTTAATATTTATTATTATGTATTTGACACTTTGTATTTAGATTGTTTAGAGATTCTGATATTTATTTTTATGTTATATTTAAACTTAATTGTATTTTAAAACATTATAAATTATGACTTATGTTATTGTTACCTATTTTAGAACACTGCAACATACTTTGACAGAAATTAATTTAATGAAATAATGACTATTTATGGGATTAAGTCATTAAGAATTGTATTGCATTTATATGTTGTGCATTATTTTTAATTATTATATAGTTTTTCATATTATTTTAAGTTCATCTTTAAAATAATGATTTATATTACGATCAATTGACAAAAACTAAACATATTATGCTTCTTTCACGGTCCCTAATAATTAATTTAAGTTGTAATGATACATTTTTGGTTTGCTCAGGAGTGTGTTTCAATACCAATATTTTGTTCTACACCCGCCAAGGCTCCAACTCGGTACCATGTGTGTCTACGTGTCTACTGTCTATCCATAACAGGATGAGTCATGGCAACAAAATATCTAAAATGCGATTTATGATTTTGTTAGGTTAATATTTAATTATTATTAAAGTAGATAATATATATATTTATATCAAATATTATTATTATTAACTTTTGAGACTTACTACAGTAATCTGATTTTTAAAACCAAATATATATTAACAATATTATGTTTAATGATGAATAATTATTCAAAGCCCAGAGATAGCTGATAAATGTATAAAAAAGCGGGTAAGTGGATGTCGCTCTGCTGTACGCCTGTAGAGTAGGTTACAAGTGGCCAGTGGGTCAGTGTAAAATGGATTTCATTTAACTTGAATTCAATGATATAATATTATCATTATATAAGAAAAACGATTCTGAGCAGAGACTGTTAGTCTGGATTTTGTTATATTGTTTTTATTTATTATCAAGGACTAAAATATATAATACACCTTAGAAACCGTACCTTTAGTAATTTTTTTCGAATTATAGTCGCTGCTATAGGCACTCTTGCTAGTTGCTCAATCGAAACGTCAATTTTTTGGGCTTAAATACAAGTAGTCTCAATAATTGATTTTGAACGTGTTCAGTTTTATTGATTAATCCAGTTCCATGAGGATTCCATATAGCCATACAGGTAACCGAGCCTTATTCCAAATTGTAATATAGGTACCAATTATTGCCCACTGCAGTCGTTGAAACTATGTAGGCATAAAATATTTAAATATTATAGGTACAAGGTATATCAACATCACTGTGACTAAATAAAAACCCAAAGTGCAAAAATTAATATTAATGTAGTTTATAAACAAGTGAGCAAATGATCGTGCACAATCGTGCTTTCGGTTACCCATAAATACCTATTTAAAAATATAAGAATTTGTTCTAACATATAGTCTGCGGAAACTAAAATTTAACATCAGCTGGAAGAAATCAAACCAAAAATATAAACATTTAGGAGAGCAATGTACTTCCAAGCCAGGATTTTACCGTTGGGCTCGCCGCCCTAGAACACCATTAATATTGAATGTCATGCAGCTTCTTAGTGGGCCCCTTATTTAACTCATAAACTCCAATAAATTTTAACTTCTAACTTCAAAAACATTTTTACTACTTGTATTTTAAAATAAAATTGTAATTTTGTATTGTTTAAAAAAAAAATTAAAATCAATATTATTATTTACAATTTTAAATTATTTAAAAATTTTAAACAAAGATACTTTATATAGTACCCAGAGCTGTCAAAAAATAATTACATAAAGCGATGGACATTAAATAATTGAATTAATGTTTAATATTAATCATTCTTAATAAATAAATAAATAATTTTATTATGAAAATTAAATTTAAAATCATATTGGCAGCGCCATCCATTAGTTAAAATGAACAACGGACTTCTTGAGTGTGCCATAGATAAATCTTCTTCTAAAGACTAAATTTCAATATAATATTACATGGATGGGCACAGTGGTGGATTCAGATTTCAGGGGGAGGGAAAAGTGGGCAGTTGCCCCTCCCCCCTATAGCCGTAGTATTCCTTTATTTTATACTGTGTTTAATCTATTTTGTAGCCAATTTTGGAACTTTTTGTACTTTTGTCCAATGAAAATTGGACAATGAAAACCTAACCTATCCTACTTAAATATATTTTGTGCATATAACACCTCTACATGCGCAGTCCCAATGTCGTCGTGGAACTCGACGGGAGCGTAGAGCTGCGACGGGTAAGCAACAACCGTAGCACGGGCCAAGTATTTTATTTTATGAATTATGATTGTTTTATACTTTCATCAATAGAAGTGTTTCTGACCGAAAATTGTGTTTAAGTTTTATTTCAGGCTTTTGTAGTGTACAACACTTTTAGAAAAGGTAGCAAGACACTGTATAGTACCTACTTACTTTCTCATCCAGTACTCGTTATCGTGGTCAGTTGTTCGAGAGTAAAGTATAACCTTAGAGTTGTATAGTGTAAATCCTGTTGGACCTCTGTTTAATTATCCTTTTGTAGTTTTGTGCAGTACTCATTCAGCAGGTGTCGATAATTTACTCGTTTGACGGTTAGAGAATCGGAAACCGAAATATATCTGTTATATACGCCAAATCTTTGCGTGGCGTACCTATACGACATGTTGGCGCCCAAAACGGGGTCTTATCCTCGATCGGAGACATTTTTAGAGTGTGCAATTTTCCAAGTGATTTTTTTTTAGTGTGTTCTGGGTAAAGTTCCCTTCGCATACCTTTTTTTTTTTTTGTGTTAATTTTTATGCACAAATTAAGTACGACTGTTTGTGTGTCTTTTTTAGGTGGAGTAACCTGAAGCGTGATTTTTGAATTTTTGCTATAATTGTTTGTGTTTTGGATGGTGTCAAGTTTTGATTTTTTTTTTAATTTTAATTTTTCGTATGTTTTGATTAGAGTAACCCTGAGCTAAATTTTGTATGTGTACAATGTACATACGGGTTCGATTTACGTAAGTACAGTTTGTTTACCGTACATATGACGTCATAAATACGCTATAATATAAGGTGAACGCCGTGAACAACTACGTATTATAATTATGTACATATATTAATATTAGGATTTAGTTTTAAGCTTTTCTCTCACAAATTAGTAGGATTTTAGTTTAAATGTTCTTCCTCTCAAAATGTTATTAAGTCTATTTTAACTCAATTTTTAAGTAACGTTAACATTTTAAATATAGATTTAAAATAAATATAATTAACCAACAACGTAAATTTTTAATATTTCATTTACATACGTACATTTTTAAGTGTCCATGAGTGATTTAAAAAAAAAATAAAAAAATTTAATATAGCATTTTAATATGAATTGATAATAGTTCACTACAATAGACAATACTGCGATATAAAAGCAAACAACAAAAGATTAATATCTGCTGAACCCAAATCACAAATAATCACCATTTTAGCGATATTTTTAACCAAGTTATTCTCATACTGTTAAACAGCTATAATATGTAGTATTTGTTTACACAAAGAAGAGTACTAATGCTTATTAAACAACAAAATCTAATTAAACACAAAACAATATTGTAATGTGTTAGCTTTTGCAATAATTTTCATTGGGTACCTACCGTAAATTATTTTTTATCTTATCTTGCAAGTAAAATTAGAGTAAATTACGTAAACAAAGAAGTGTTAAAAGCAAATAATTAGCTTGATTATTTTTACATTTAAGATTTAAACTTACTCAAATTTTATCAATTTTGTATTTAGAAAAAACTTTTTAAACAAAGATTGTCATAAAAAAGTTGATTCAAAATAATTGTTAAAAATTGAAATTTTCTAAAATGTATATTTTGGTACTCCAACTGGCAACTACTCCCTAACCTTTCGATAACCACATTTCAATCCTAGATCATCTATATAGCTGTAACTTGGTCGTAGTATATTATATATTCGGCACTAGGTATGTTACACTATTAATTATTATAGTATAAGACCATGTGGGTCCCCCATAGGCCCCATACACTCCAAGGGTTGATTGAAAGCTTTATTAGGTATTTTTATCATATCGAGAATTCTGCAGCGATCCAGAGGTCGTAAACAATCGTAAATTTCTACGATTAGGTAAATATTATATTGTATATAATGTATAAATATTAGAGGACAGTGAGAACACGGAGAATCGGGGATTAGATAATGGTCAGGTTAGGTTTATATATTGCCATTTGTCGCCAATAAATGTTGCAACGCGGAGCTCATACATAATTAATAAAATGTATATTATTCCCAGAAATTTTAATAAAATTTTAAATTTTAATATTATGCATCATTGTACGCTGTATCCATGTTCATGGTTGTATCTTATTCTTATAGTAATTGCTTGTAACCTAAAATCGTCGGCCGTCACTCACAAGTATCATAAATTAAAATGAATCGCGGACGTTTCGCCCCCGCCGTTTCGTCCCCGTCAAAAAAACAAGTCCTCGGACGTTTCGTCCCCGTCTATTATTAAGATAGGACATTTGGCCCCCGGGAGTTATATAGATTTATTTATACCTACCCATAGGACGTTTGGCCCCCGGTTAGGTTAGGTTATTACTAGGGCTCGGATTTATATGTATTTATATAACCAAAGTATGTATTTACACAATAAAAATATGTGCTAAAGAATTCAAAATATGTATTATAAAAAAAAAAAAAAATGATCAATTGCTATGGATTTTTCACAAGCAGTACAATACAAAATGTGACCGTCACTTTTTAAATGTTCATTTGGATATTCAGAAACATATTTTATTGCTTTGCAAGACGATCGTACTTTTAAATATAACGAACAACGAGACCACGAAATACACACTACGATGTCACATTAAAAAGTACACATTTATCGCAGTGTTCGCTCGCTCGTGTTTAACGCATTTAAAAATGAGTTAATCCTTAAGAGGACGCTACCCGGGCAAACGAAACCGTATAACGTTCGAGAGAATGCGCTTTTAGGTGTTTTCGTGCGGCGCAGGCACGCGTTTAGCCACGCCCTGTACCGCGCGCGATCGGCACATATTCACAATTCTGGCACAACCGGTCCGATGAATTTCCATACAGGAGCGCGTTTTATTGTTTCACCGTATGTTGATTGTCGAACATCACTCGTAAGTGCAGCAGCCGTCATCGTATTCATTTCACGATTATTGTACTACATCTAATATGATGGCGCGCACTTACTAACTAACTATCAATAAAAGTTCCTGTTTATCTAAATATATTTATGAACGTTTTCACAACGCTGATAATTTTACCTAACAACTTAGTTTTTAATTATCGCGTAATTACTTACTGAGATAAATGATAATATGTTTGAAACAGTAATTAAATTAATATATTACGATAAGATATCTGATATTTCAATTGATAAAATCGTATCTAGAAATAATTGAAAATATAACAGGTTGAGTGTAATGGTCGTTTGTAATCAAGGATCATCAATGTCAAAAATACGTCCAGTGGACCCCACCGACCACCGGACCACACGATATTATACTAGTCGTGAACTATTAAGTATTGGCTAATGACTTACTACTTAGGTACTCATGATAACCTTTGAGAAGTGGAGAACTACGATATAGGCCGGAGGTGAAGGAGATGCGTATCTACTGCGCAAAACTAGTACAACTGTGATGATACCTATCTAATTTGTCATAGGAAAAATGTTATAAACTTTTTCTATTTATATTGTAAAGACTAAATAATATTTTATACCTGCCCTGGATACTATAATAGTATATACACAGAGCACACTACGCAGTAATAGTTTGTCTGTGTAATTGTGCGTACGGCTTCAGTGAACTATGGAGGTGTTGACCACGAAAATAAATAAGAAGAAATTAGTGCACATCGATTATTTATATTACAAACAAAAAAATGTGAAAATTGGTATCCGGTGGGTGTGTGTTCACAAAGGGTTATGTGATGGATCAGTTACAACTGACGATGGAATCAATTTTGTTTTAAAGTTTGGAGATCACCATCATAAAGGTAATACTGACTTAATAAATACAGAAAGAGCTAAATGTATTATGAAGAACGCAGCAAAACAAAACTACGATATACCGTCTCGAATTTTTGCACTTAATGTAATCCCATTATCCAACGAAAGTAGACAGTTAATTCCGAAGGAAGATTCGATGAAAAGGACTTTACGGCGTTGACGCGGACACGATGATTGCTTCAAGGTTGATCGTGGTCCGGTCGAAGTGTTTGGTTAGGATTGAGGTGATGAAAAAAACACAACACAAACACTTTAAGAATGTCATAAATTATGTATTATAATATTGCGACCAAAATATAATAATACATGACGTGCCGCTCGGGCAGATGAGTTTAACGTCGGACGATATCGGATATGTTATCGGTCCGACGGACGGTCCGATGGTGGATCTCGAATCGCCTTTTCCGTCGACCGTTGTAGTGTTGTACGTCTTACGCGACACAGTCCCGCCTTGCCGTTACCGGCTCGGTGGGAGAGTCAACCCGGTCGCGCTGCTTGCATCCCGTGGTGGTGGTTGGAGATAAGATAGACTGGTCGCTATAGTGCTTGTACATTGTACTTACTACTTGCTACTAACGCGGGCCGCGTCAGCGTGTCCGTAGCAATATTTATCCTAAAATTGCAAAAATAGACGATATCATATTGGAAGGAACACTCAACACAGTGGAGTACAACCGGTGGAGAACTCAATCCATAACCATTTTTATTTTACGACAACAAAAATAATAATAATCGTATTATAATATTTTCTTCAAAAACGTGCCGCGAAATTTTATCTGAAACTAAAATAATATATATGGACGGAACATTTTCAACTTGTCCTTCTGAATTCTACCAAGTATACATAAATATTACATGCAAGCATAAATAATTTAATAATTCCTGTGATGTACGCTTTGCTTCAACGTAAAAATAAGGACACTTATATTGAGTTATTGTCTGCTATACGGGATCAATTTGTATTAAAAAATTTATTGAAAGCGACGCTTTCAATAATTTCAATTGATTTCGAACAATCTGTAATACAGGCTATCAAGGAAGTATTTCATGATGAAGTATCGGTGCAGTTATGCTATTATCATTTAAACCAGTCCATCTGGCGAAAAGTTCAGGACTTGGGTTTGGCTATAAAATATAAAGAAGACAAAAACTTCAGATCAGCCGTAAAAATGATTCCTGCATTTCTTCCAACCAATACTGTAAAAAGAGGTAATTTATATTTTTTTCAAATAAGTAATAGATAAATCAGTAGGTATACACATACTTCAGTGTTTGGAATTTTTAATAGGGATGTCAATACTATTCAATTCATTAAAGACTATTGAAGAATTGGACGACATTTTGGTGTACTTTAATTCTACATACGTTAATGGAACATACAAATCTATTCCTACAGAATACGGTACGATTAGGTTAGTTCGACGTCCGCCAATATTTTCTCCGTATATGTGGAACGTGTATAATGCCACGAAAGAAGGTTATGGTCGAACCAACAACGTGTCTGAAGGGTTTAATAATAAATTTAAAAATATTGTAAGAATTAGACACCCAAACATTTTTATTTTTATCGAGTCCTTACAGATGTGCAATGCATCTGCAGTGACTGCATTGGCAAAAAAAAAAAAAATGAAATTATAAATAATATGCCAAAAACAAATCATTACGAAGATAAAATAAAACAACATTGTAATGAATTTAAATGTAATAATGATAATGATATTTTATATTTTTTGAAAAGAATAAGTGATCTAATATGAATAATTTGTATTGTAAATGAAGTGATTGTGATTTTATATTTTTGAAAAATAATAGTGATTTTAATCTAATAAAAATTATCTAATAAAATTTGTACAAATTATTATTACTATCATTATAATTGTTTTTTTTTATTTGAGAATTTAAATGTTAAGTTAACAAAAAAAAAAGATTAAAATTTGGTGATTTAAAATTCCAGGGGCCAAACGTCCTATGGGTAGGTATAAGTAAATCTATATAACTCCCGGGGGCCAAATGTCCTATCTTAATAATGGACGGGGACGAAACGTCCGTGGATTCGTTTTTTTGACGGGGACGAAACGGCGGGGGTGAAACGTCCTTTTACCAATAAAAATAAATAATGATAATTGATAAATGGTAATGAATAATGAATAATGATATATCAATATATCTCACATATTATAATATTATTTTTCATAGACTCACAGTTATAAATTACTTATGCATGTTATTGAGACGTGTACCGGACAGTGCTAAATATAGTAGTGTAGTGACCAAATTGGTTACCACGAGTAATAACTTAAACACAAGTAGATATTGTATATAATAGTTTTATTTACACAGTATTTAAACACAGACTTTTAATATGAGTAATAAGACTAAGTATTTAACTAAGTATAATTGTGTAAAAGAGTTATAAGAGTGCTACCGTTAGGCGTTAATCCTTGTTACATATTCATTAACTTATGAGCTTCAGCTTGTAGCTGTTGTAGAACTAACTAACAGATCAGACCTCCCTTTTATATCCAAAGGTAGTGTGCCGATGTAGTGATGTGCAAAATTAGCATTATGGTGTTGTTTATATAATAACAATATGTTAATTGCAATGGTCAGCATCACGTGAGAGACTCATAGTTGAGCTTATCATTACAGTAGGTATCATACTATTACTATACACATAACACAATAATATGGTTTCTTATCGAATAAACATTGAAAAAACGGCCGACGGCCCAAAGCATTTTACGCGCAGATTACGAGCGTTTGGCTTTCTCCCACTGCATCGGACGCGACAAATGTTTTGTATTTTCATCGCCACTATACGAATTCTCATTTTGTTCTTGCGGTCGTGTGTCTGGACTCTGGACGGTCCCGCTCGGTGGCGTAATCTCGCGTGTAATAATAATAATATTGTTGCAATCTTACGATCTTACACCGCGATACGACCATTAGTAACCATTATACGAGCAAGGGGCGCTTGTTGTGACTAAAATACAACTAATAACTACATCGCTTGCTGCTGTTATATAGTCAAAACTGGTTGGTTGTGCTTCAGAGGGAATCGCTCCATGGCTCCATCTCAGATTCGCGGCAGGTCTAATCGGAGGATCATCTTGGCACCGGAAACTCCTCAGTCGTCTAATCGTAACCTAACCTAACCTAACCCACAAAGAGTGCGTTGAACTGTTGAAGTACTGCAAATGCCGCATTGCGTAGGTACCACAGCCTGCTTAAGTAAGTTTTCCCGACGATTACCTGTGATTATTGTGTTGATATCAGTTATTACCTAATATTTTAACTAGCAATTGGGTAGGTACTAAGTTTATCAGTTTATGTCTTGTTGTTGCGGGTTTCTGGAGGTCCTCGCCAGAGACTACCGCAAGTCGCAACCACAATCGTTATATTTTTGTCGCTATTTTTCATCTTGTAAAATGTGAATTTAGTTTTCGTAGAGTATTTTTTTTTTTTTGGTTTGGGGGGTGGGCTGGGAGAAATAATATATTTTTTATTTTTCACACCATCCTTTATTTTTAAATAATTTTGCAATAATACATTTCTACATGTTAACTTATAATTTAGGTGCCGTCTTAGCAGTCATTGAAATTTTATAGAATTGTTAAATTGGTGAAAATATATTAAATAAAAACTATAGGTAGATACTAAATACCTATAACTATCCTCATTGTCATCTAGAGCCCGGATTTATATGCATTTAAAAAGTGTAAAATATAATGCAAATATGCAAGGAAAAGTGGCTAAATAGTAATGTGCTAAAAAACACATTTTTACACCAAGGAAAGTAGGTACCTACTAGATATTCTATCAAAAACAAAAGAATATTTAAATAGTTAAACATTTAATACTTTAAAAACCAAAATGCAATATTTTATAATCTTCGTTTTTTCATATTTTAGATTGTTTGAAATATAGGTAATATCTAAAACTCTCAGAAAACTTAAAAAAAATAAAAATAAAATCATCTGTAAATATTTTAGATTCTGAGTGAAACGATGAATGTATTGATTTTACAATGATGTGTTTTTTTTTTATTTTTTTTTGTGTCTGTCATCACGTTTTAGGACAGTAAAAGTGCTTGGATTTTCTTCAACAGTAAAAAAAAAATTTTACTTTTGACAACCCAAAGTACAGTGCCGCAACTACTGGGTGTGCAAGGTGTGCAATGCACACGGGCCTCCAGCTCTAAGGGGCCTCTGAAACCAAAATCTAAAATTGAAAATTGTCTATTTAAATATTTTTTTTGCTTTATTATGCTGCAAATATTTTTAGATTTTATGTTCTTACATCTTGCTTTAAAAATAAATTAATCATAGGCATAGTTATTAAAAAATATATAGTATGCAATACCATTGATTAAATATACTAGTATACTAGTATATTTAATCTATGGCAATACAGACTACAGTGCCAAATCATAATAGTAAAATAATAGACAATAGTAGGTACTAATAGTCTGCGGGTATACATGGCGATACTCGCGGCGAATTCCGCTGTCATCGAAAATCTATATGATTAATATTAATAAATCGGCCGCAGGCTATATACGAGTTCGCCTCGAATTAATCCGCGATTGAAATATTTGCGGTCGGCTGACGATTTTTTTCAAGACCGCCCAATCCGTAAAACCGCAAAACCGTCTATTTATATTAACTTTTAATGATAGCGGCTATACGGATATTTTGGTTTAGCGAATTTCACGGCGATTATTACTATAATATTATTGTAAAATCGTAAATATCATAAACATAATAGAACATAACATAACATAATAATTATATTATTCCACAGGGTACAAAATATATATAGAAGATATATAATATATAAATTATAAAGTGTATGTATATATATGTATGAAATATGTTTTAGGGATGAGGCACGACATTTGTAGTTGTCTAAAGAGGGAGGCATAGCCCTCCTTTAAAAAAAAAACAAAGAACAAAGAGTATATAGAGGATTTATTAATATATATAGTAGTATACGTCATAATACATATAATATATGTATTATATCTAAGTATACTATAGACTTACATATAATAGTATTATATATAATACATATAATATATATACATGTATTAAATGTATTATATATAATACATATAATATATATACATGTATTAAATCTATTACATTTATTTAATTTAGA